TCTGATGTTGAAAATAGATATTTTTCTGACTTGCACTGGCCATGCAGCTTAGAATAATACTTATGGTCAACTCATAATGTTCATGGACAATATTATTCCAACATAAATTCAACTGAAATTACATAAAGTAATATTACAAATGCAAGTCTAAGTCCAATGCCCCAGGATTTACAAATTCGTCATAACTAGCCCCAGGACCGGGAAAAGCTTTAGCAAACGCTAGCTTGTCTAAAAGCTCATCAATAGAGAAAGAAGAGATGAAAAGTTTTCTCTGACTAGAAGCCATGAAGTTCTGTCTCACTGCGTCATCTAGAATATGATTAGGTTATTAAAATAACCGTCAATATTCAAGAGACCAATGGGTTTACTGTGCAACCCTTCAGATGCCCATGAGATCAAAGTGAACAAACCTTCCATAGTATCAATCCCTCCGGGAAGTACGATGAAGGCCTCCACTACATGATTCATCTCAAAATGCTTATAGTAATTGCTTGAAACTGTGTATTCTGCACCATACGTAGGTCCGTAGACCTGTCGTGCTGCTATGTACCCTGGTATAAAGCCTCTAACTATACCACCATTGGTATAGACTGTTGAAGCAACAGCTCCTTGAAGGCCAACGTTGCCTCCTCCATAGGTAAGTCTAATTTTTCGCCTTACCAATTCGCTTCCGAAATCCACCGCCGTAGCCATGAACTTTGGATTTCTACCAAGAGAATGACTACCAAGTAGACCAACGAATTTTATGGTGTAAGGAAAAGATCGAGATGTTCCTTCCATAATGTGAGAATGTGAAATGCTCTGGCCACAATCGTGATATATATAGGCTCTGAAAACCTGATCTTTAAAAAAAAAAGTAGTTATCCTCCGTCAAAATTTGTACAGCAAAGATGGATTTGATTTACCTACAGATGAGGACGTGCTCGTTAATGCTATAGTCTGCTTATGATATGACATATTGAGACTCATGAACAGTTAGATTCGCTCAAATCCAAGATGAAAAGTCAAATGGCTACTGCCCTGAAGACAACGACCCCTTGAGTAATTGAAAGACTACATTACGACGTATGAATTGAAACAAACTGCAATTGTGCTTATCAAAGACCATTCAAGAATATTGAAGAAATTTTCAATTGATTCTGTTAACCAAGGACGTACAGATAAGACTCGTAACTGAACGAAGTTATGTATGTCAAGTATGCAATACTACACACATTGCTTGACCATCATGGCTGTAACGCCCCAAAACATACCCTAAAATTTTTAATGAATAATTCAATTAATCAAATTTGTTTGGATTAAAATAAATTATTGTTGGGCTTTGGGCCGATATGAAATTTGTTTTGACATCTAATATCAAAATCAGGATAAGTCTCATAGAGATAAATCCAATATGTGGAGTATTTGTGTGGT